AATAATCTTCCAGAGTCAGTTATTTGTCTTTCATCTTTAACGTCTTTCAAAACAGCTTTATGTCAGTATCTCTTCCAGTGAAACATTTTGTCAGTTAAGAATTTATATTTGTTCTTTCTTGCTTATTGTTTTTTATTTTTATTTTCAAAAATTTGTTCTTTTTTACTACTTCTGGTTCTAACCTTAGTTCTATTGTTTATCTTGTTCTTTTTATTACTCTTTTTGTGTTGTTTGGCTTGAGTCATTGTTATTACAGGTCAGTGACCTTTGATGACTCTCACTTTTCGTGAATAAAACAGTCTTAGTCTTAGTCTATAACAACGATAGTAGCGTTTATCTAACATATCACCGGCACAAAAATAAAGTTCATTTAGAGTCGTGGAAAAGTACTATAAAAAAAGGTATCTATTTTCAGAGCAAAAACCACCGCTCATGATGATAAATCTGGAAATAATAACATCTAAATTGTATGTGAGTAAGTTGGTCTTTTCTGCTCTATTTAGTTGATAAACATTTCTTTTTAACTGATCAGTAAGATATAATAAAAACGAGATTTTTATTTCTTAAATAATATATATTTAGAAATGAGAATTAGGGTAGAAATGTTTAACAAAAACAAAATAAATTTAACTGTGTTTAGGAAAAAGTAATGATGATACAAATTCAAATGCACCAAAATAAATTAAACCACCTATTGATATCCACATGGTACGAGGAAGAATACCACTATATAGACTATTAATATAAATAACATTTATTTTTAATATTTTATTTTAAACTAAAGAAAAACTTACGCTGTAAAACCTTCATTTTTGAGAATATTTTTCATAATTTTCAAAAGATGAGAAGCTGCATCAATATCTGTATGCTACTGAAACATATTTATCAATAAAATAAATTAAAAAATATTCAAATATTTACATGAGCAAGCATTATTCTTGTTTTAGCACCATCTAAATAGAAAATTCATTTTTATTTAGATTACGAGACATTTGGGCGCCGACATTTGGACGCAACGATACTTGGGCGTAACGATATTTAGGCGCACGACAATTGAGCGCATTTACGGCAAAAGCATTCAGTAAGCGTGCATTTGTTAAAGAATGATGTGTAACGATAAAGTTTTCTTTAAACAAACTTGGTACGGTGTGAGAGATTTTTTTATATTATTCATATCCAACTGTAATCACTGTTTGTTTAATCTTCATTGATACTCACACTCACCCTCACCGGTACCGGTGTCTTTGAACTTCAACTATCGTTGCGCCCAAATGTCGGTATACCTTTTATTTAATCATTAAAATAATAAAAATGCAACTAAATTGAGTAGTAATAAATGTAGAAGAACAAGACGAAACATCAGTTGATCTTAAAGTGAATGACTTAACGTCAATGGATCTTAAAACAAGAACAAATGAAATATATTATAAGAAGCTGAGACAGAGCTGAGCAAATGATCGGATGATCCAAGATGTCTACTGCCAGATTCCAGATTGATCTTACCGTTGACAAATCTTCCAAGAGGTTTTCTGAGAGCTCAAGTAAAACTTTTTTAAAAGTTGTTCCACTGCCACCTTTAAGAAAGCATCTCCCAAATTCAAGCCTAGAGACGTTTTTGTTGCAAATTACATATTTTACCTTTTGTCTGCTGGACTCGAGGTTGTTCAAATTGATCTTCACGATGAGCAAGGATGCTAAGTGATTTTTCAACTAGCTGCATCTAGTTAGAAACAGTCTCTCACCAAATGCATCCTACAATTTATTACTGCATTCAGGTAACGCTAGTTATGGTTTTTCAACAAAGACAGGCAGCTGGATTAATCTAGTGATAAATCGCAATCTACGAATAACATAATCTTGATAACCCTTTCGAACCATTTACCAAAGTTAGAAAGAAGAGAAATAATAATAGGACGAAGTTTATTCATTACCGGATACATTTCGTCTTTAGAAAGACAAATAACTTTACTATGTTTACTTAACTTTAAAACATCTAATTGTGCAATTTTATTAAAACCATATGTTACAATGTTTAAATATTCCACGGGAAGTTGTTTTAAAAGACACGCGGAAATACCCTCACTGTCGGTTGATTTTTTCTTCCGGGTCCGTTTCCAGGTAAATTCCACTTCTTCCATTGTAATCTTTTCTAATGGACAGTTTGGTATATAGGAAATGTTATTATATGGTTCAATCGCTTCTGCATGTGCCAATAACTTTGGATCATACCCTGAAGCTTCGAAGTGTTTTTCATAAAAATCCACTAGGATATCTGCAATCTGTTGATGATCTTTTATCACACCAGCAGTTGTGGTGAGGCCTCGGAATGGTGGCGAACCACAATAAAATGTACTGTTATGTACTTTTTCTTTGTCTTTATTCTTTACATCTTCAATTAAAATAAATTTATTTAAAAAAAATTGGTATAAAAAACCAAAAGGAAAAATAACTTGTAGTAGAAGTAGCTAAAGATCTAAAGTAGAAAACAGTCTGAAACATCAGTCTACTGAGGGAAGTGCAGCCTGCTAAGGAGTTACAGATTAGCTGATATAATATTCGTACAAGCCATGTTTTGTATAGATTGAAGTCACACTGCTTAGTAGAATGCATGGTGTTTAGCAGCATAAAAACGCATGCTCTAGCACTTCTAATATTCGAACAACTCAGTTAAAAGTAGAACGCACTTTGCTAAGCAGACTGAAAATATTCAACATGCATCTTGCTTAGCAGAGTGGAACCAAACTTCAAGAAAATCGTAGAAGTATTCTTTAAAGTATAGTAATGCTAACTAGCAGTATGCATTCTGCTTAGGAGAGTGAAATGGATGAAAAAATTCCGGAGTGGATGTGGTGTCTCAAAGTTTTAAGGAAAGCGCGGAAAATTTTAATTTTTAAATGTAAATGTCATTTTCCTAAAAAATTTTTAAGGAAGATCACGAAAATTTGTCCACAAAATTTTTTAGAATCTTTAAGGAAAATGCATTTATAAAGATCATGTATCCTCAATCTACTCAGCTAGAAAAGCCATCAGACTCATCGCCCGATAGATCGTTTGATTTAGCTAGTCACAGTTATTTTTAAACCCTCTAATCCATAGCAACTAGCTGAATCTAATAGTGTAACGGGCAATTCAAGTAGCAGTATATATAGGCATGCACCAGTTACAGTTTTTGGACGGTTAACTGTAACGGTTATAACTGTGACTGTTATAACTGTTATAACTGTAAAACTATAACTATCATAATTGTTCCGAAGATAGTTCAGAATGAGTTATCGTTGTACTATTAGCATAGGTTTCAGAGTAAGACAAAAAAAGGACATATATTTAG